TGGAGAGAGTAGAAATTCTTAGGGGGAAGTGGATGCCCAGGAGAGGTGGGAAAAGAGTAAGGGCTGTCGCTGGGTATCTATGACCCTACTCCTACAGACCAGGTGAATTCTATTTAAGCCATTGAAAGTGCAGACAAGGTGGGAAATGCAATCACAGAGAGAGGCAAGTATCTCCATTTCTCTTTCTCCCCACTGACTCTTGTGCACTGAGCATAACAAAGCCATGTGGTTGTCCTGCCTCCTCCCTGCCAACTCTCCTGCTGCTGGGGCTCTATAATGCCAGGGAAGTGACTCTTTGAATTTTGAGACTCCGCTAATGGAAATGATGTGGTCTGACTCATTCTAATTCCAACAGTAATCCTTATTTTCTCCTCCTTACCTCCCTTGCCCTCTTTATAAATTTCTACAAAGCCCAAATCATCCATTATTACATGGATTTATTCACATGCTTGTTACCCAATACTACACTCTGAGCAATGCCAATCATTCTGCCAATCCTTACTGCAARTATTCCACCTACTCAACACCAGGCGGGCTCTGGGATGCCTGGAAGGCACAGTTACTGCCTTAGTGAAGTTTAGGGTCAAGTCAGGGGAGGCAGACAAACAATTATACAATTAATTGATAACATCCAATCATCAAATGTGCCTACAAAAAGTTCTTGTAAAAACAAAATAATGGGTSTGTTCTTCATTTCTCTAGAGCCTTGCATAATGCTTATGTATCAAATGCTAAATAAATAAATACAACACAGTGAAGAAATGAGCAAGTGAACAAATAAATTAATGAAAATGCTGATTTTTTCCAAAATGATAAAAGTTTATGTCTTAAGAAATTATAGAGCTGTAAACCCTRTCGATCTTTAGCAACATATTCATAGATTTCAAGAAAAAGATTTTTAAAAAGTCTATAGAAATAAAATTAATTCCTTAGAAAATACAGTGGGCTTACTAACAACAAGAACCTGGTTACCTAAGTGGAGAGAATGGGGACAGACTGATGTATGCACCTATCCATTCAAAAGATGTTTATTAAATATTTGTGCCTATTAAGTACTGGCAATTAATAGACAAGCTGCTTTATATCATGGTACCTGACTTAGGTTCTAGAGCAAGGACTTGGGGAGACACACAACAGACAACCAAGGAAAGACTAGTGAGGTTCCTAATTGTGGTACTATAAAGTAAATAGTCACATCATAGAACCATGATTTAATTGAAGGTTATCCAGGAAGTAGGGCAGGTGATATTAGAGGGAAAGCCAGGGTGGACTTCTTGGAGGAAGTGACATTAGAATTATGCTCTGTGCCTAGGGAACAGAAAAGTGGAAATATCCTGAGACAGTAAAATACTAGTATATTTTAGAAGCAGCAAAAAGATCCACATTCCCAGAAAGCAGTAAAAGAAAGCTAAAGAGGTAGGAGAGGAAGATTCCATGGGAATTTTACTTGCTAGTAAGGAGGCTCAGTTTTTTAAGTGCATCGGGCAGCGATATGGCATCGTTTTACTTCTTATTATAAAGATCACTAATATTGAYTATGCAAAAATGGGTTTGAGAGATTGGGGTGGAAAACCACAGGTAGGAAACCAATGAGATCCTTCAGGTGAATACAGAAGAGAGCCTTCTGGAAGTACACGGGCTTAGAACATGTTTTGTAAAAAGCAACTATCAGAGCTGCTGTGATCTACAGACAAGCTGGTAAGACTAGAAATTATGGGAAAGGAGGAAGCAAGGGGGCTACCTAGGGTTTTTCTAAAGGAACAGGGTCTAATGGTTCCATTTGCTGCRATAGAGGGATGTGAAGGAGCGGGTCCTGAGGCTATTAGTAATCAAGAGTTACATTTTTACTATACTAAATATGAGACATTGATTATAGTTTCAAGTGGAGATATCAAGTAGGCAATTGCATATATTAATTCCGGAGGTCATATGTACAGGATACAGATGTGAAGATGACTAGCATGCAGATGGTGTTTAAATTTAAGAAACGATAAATTCAGCTAGCCATGGGGTGTAGACAAAAAAGAAAAAAAAAAAGAAAGAAAAAGAAGGCCTGAGACTAAGCCCTGAGATGAAATAGGGATAGCAAGTGACAAGGAAGAAAAGTCCAATTTTTTTTTTTTTTTATTAAAAATGGAAATACCTATTTGAACCAAATACTGGRACAGATTGAATGAGGTAAGAAAAGTTAAGTGTCTATTGGATTTGGCTGTGTGACARTCAGTGGTATGTGCCTAGGGAACAGAAAGTGGAAAGATTATGAGGTACTAAAATACTAGTATATTTTTTGAAGCAGCAAGAAGATCTTGAATTAAGTCATATCTCTAAAGTATTCTGCATTGGTCAAGGTTCATCAAGAGAAACATAACCTATAGGATGCTCACATAAAATATGGGATTTATTGCAAAGAGTTGCTTAGGTAATACTAGGGCTAACTAAACAAATGCAAATTCCACCGGGCAGGCCACCGGAAGGATAGGCTGAAAACTCTTTTCAGGAGTGGCAGATGCTGTCCACAGGTGGAATTTCTTGCTSCTCAGGGAAATCTCAATTCTGCTTCAGGAAACTTTCACCTGATTGAMTCATGCCTACCCAGATTATCTAGAAACATCTTCTTAAAGTCAAATGGTTATAGACATCAACCACATCACAGCAACATTTACAAAGGTGTTTGGTTGAATAACTAAACTGTGACCTGGCCACGCTGACACATTCAACTGACACTCAAATGTCTAAAGATTGATTGGAATGAGTTCCAGCTTGTCTCATTGGAATGAGACAAGCAGGTGGAGAAAGCAACTAAAGCCAAGTTTTAAAGAGAAACCATTCTGAGCACAAGAGGTGAGGAGAGAAGGAGAGGTAGCTCTCAAGTTGGGTCCTAGGATTTTTATTACTATTGATCTAATTGGTAGTGTATACAGCAAGGTTTTATGTTTACATGAATAATCCAGGGAAACAGAGATAAAATTATGCTGAAAAGGATGGATTGGACCCAGAAGATATGCCAAGGCTTGGTTTTAGACAGACACTCAGGTATGTGTTCTTCACCTGCTCTGCCAAGAGTATGTGCTGGTGGTTGAAGATTACAAGGTGCCAGTATTGGGTGCACAGCAGAGCAGTCATGCTGTGTCTAATAAAACCCTAAAGTGGGTACATGACATTGCTGGTCATGTKTACCTGAAGGCAATTCATCCCCTTAGAGGACGTGCTAGATATAAAGTGTACATGGAGAGATGGAGAGTGGGACTCAATGTCAGGGTTCTCAGCCTGCTCCACAACTGGGCTCTAGCACATCTGTGAACCTCTACTACTAAAAATGTACATAGGGTCTTTAACTGAGCAGAAGCTCTTTTGTTGCCATCACCTTCTTACCGGAATCTATCACCAGAAAAAATCTAAATGTGCTGCTGGAAGATGTCTTTCAATCCAAAAGTCTATGACTTTATTAGAAATGCTGTTCATCCTGTGTGAGCATACAGTATGGATGAACAATGGTGTGAAAAATGAGGACAAATGGCCCCACGGGAGAAAGATAAAGAATGAGGACATGTTAGAGAGTAATAAGATTATTAGGACAAAGCAGATGGTTGGCAAATAATATGAATGAGCTTTTTCTAGGCTGATTTTTTTTTTAAACACAAAAACATATGTATTTTAAAAAGAAAAGAAAACCGCCCAGGAGGAACAACTTGTTATCAAAAGAACCTGGAGGGGCTGGAGTTGCATCTCAGTGGTAGAGTGCTTGCCTAGCACGTGTGCATCACTGGTTCTGATCCTCAGCATCACATAAAAATAAATAAATAAAATATTGTCTCCATCTATAATTAAAAAAAAAAAATAGAATTTAAAATGCCAGAGGCTAGGGGAGGAGTGGGGAGTCCTTCCTAGGTTTAATGCTTTGTTGATGCTTCTGTTCTGTATCATATTCTTCCTGAAAGTGCTTGTTCAAGATAAATATAATAATTTCACCAACAAATCTCTGTGAAGAACATTTACTTTTAGTAGACACACCTTATATCCATAGTTTACTGAAGAACTAACATTTGCTATTGTATGGGGGGAGGTACTGGGAATTGTACCCATGGGTACTCTAACAAAAAGCTACTTTCCARGTGTTTTTAATTTTGTATATTGAGACACAGGGTCTTGCTAAGTTGCCAAGGCTGGCCTTGAACTTSTAATCCTGCAGCCTCAGTCACCAGAGCTGCTAGAATTACAGACTTATGTCAATGTCCCTGGATAACATTTGCTTTTTGAGCACTCATTGCCAGGTGAGTCAATTTAGTGTGTATAGGACAGAACCAGGGAAGTGAGTTTTTCTGGAGCATTTCAAATAATTCTGATGCTTGTGGCTAGGTGCTTCTTTTATGGAAAGTAGTACAAGTAGGTCACATATCTGGCACTTTTACAATCAAAATGAGGACCCTCCTCTGGGCAATTCATTCTTCTAAAGTGAACACCATTTCTATCCATGTTTAAAGCCTTCCTTACATGCAAGATGGAGTTCGACTTTTGACTTCAGTACAAACCAGCTCATGGACCCATAGATGAATACCACTAACTCCAGGAGAGAAGCATTCCATGAGTTACTCCAAGTTGAAATTATCTACYTCTTCTGAACATGTGAAGGAGATCTCCTTCCCTACTCTTGATGCTGGGGCAAGAGAAGACCTACATGATAACACACCATACTTTTTCGGGGAAAGCAAGCTTACCTATTCCTTTGATTGCAAATGACAAATCTCAAGCACTCTTCACTTTGAACATTTTGTTCACCTTTTATCCTATTATTGACTCCAAGTTCCTTCAGCCTTACATAGAAGATTTTTTCTACTTCTGGTTTGAAGTACACATTTTCAATTATGCAAATATAAAGGTAATTAAAGTCTGGAAGTAACCTTAAAATTAAGTAATTGTCATTGTCAATGTAGACACACTGATTTTCTGTGGACAATTTCCCTCAAACACACAGCAGTGTTAGTTGGTTTGCTGGTACTTACTATAGGAGCATCCGTAGACCTCCACCCTCATGCCAATCTTTCCATTTGGATTCCATTCCAGGGGCACAAAGCGAATGAAGCGAGCCCTCACTGAGTGCAATAGCTTGTGGTGCACTACACTGTCAGCATTCATGTTTCCTGCAAATGTCTGCGGGGAGAAAGGAGATCCAGTGAGGTCCAAAATACCAGCAAACATCAACAGAAATCCAAGTTACACTATAGTTAATCAGCATTTTATCACTGTGACCAGAAAAATTGATAAGAACAACTTGGAAGAAGAACATTTTATTTTAGCTCATGTTTCAGAGGTTTAGTCCATAGATACCCAAGTCCATTACTCTGGACACGAGATGAGGCAGAAGATCATGGTGGAAAGTTGTGATGGAGGAAAGCTGTCAGCTCATGGCCACCCAGAAGCAGAGCTATGGGTGAGGGGAGAGCAGGAGCTGCAGGGAAGGTGCAYCTTGCCAGGGCAGACCCCAGTGACCCACCTCCTCCAGCCACGCCTTACCTGCCTACATTCACCACCCAATCAATCCATTAAGATGAGATGATTAGGTGACAGCTTTTGTAATCTACTCGTTTTATCTCTGAATATTTCTGCATTCATACAGAAGCACTTGGGGATACCTCATATCCATACCATAACATTTACCAATTCTTTCAGGAAAGAAATCCTCTACTTCTCTGATAGTCATCTGACTTGGGTAACAATATTGCATCATGTGTTGTATTTTTTCAGAAACATCATACATTATTCTTTAAGAAATTCCTCCACCCAACTCTCATGTGCAGCCAAATTTTGTGAATAAAGCAATCCTAGCAAGTTGTAAGACATAAAGCCTAAAATATTTATAAAGTTAATAATATAATGAAATACATACATTCCTAATGTTCATAATCACTATGACCTGGGAGACACCATACAATCTCCTCTTGAAAGGAAAAGCTTTGGATTAAAGCAATTGTTACCATTATTTGATACCAATCACTTTGTTAAGCACTTTCCATTACCATTATCACCACTTTACAGATAAAAATAACTGGAATCTACAAAGTGAAAGGGGGAAGGGAAAAAAATCTTCAAATCGCCCAACTGACTAGTAATTGGTCTGAGATTCAATTCCAAGGCTGTCCTTTTCCAAATCTCATGTGGTTTCTATAGCCCCTGCTCTTCAACTCTCCCATTGTTAATTGCTACAGCAGGGAGACATCACAACTCAGATTTATGTGCAGTTTAACTTCACATTTCGTGGAGCAGTTTAAGTGAAAACACACAGCATAGTAACTACTTGATCCACTAACAGTGTCCCTCATAACCTTCATTTGATGAAGATTACTAGAATTTATTTTTTCTACAGATCAGATCCAAAGTTTTTACATCTCATCTATTTTTTTAAAAAAACTGGGGTCAAATGTACATAACAAAAATTTACCATTTTAACTATTTGAAAGTGTGCATTCCAGTGCATTAGGCACATTCACATTGTTGGGCAAACATGACCACTGACCATTCTCAGTATATTTTCATCATCTCAGTCCTACCTCATCACTAGGACAGGATATTGACTGGGCATACCAATGTGCTTGCTTTACTGTAATTATCCTCTGTATTCAGCCTCAAGGATTTATAGATAAAACCAGGTGTAGTGGTATATGCCTATAAGGGAGGCTGAGGCAGAAAGACCTCAAGCTTGAGGCCATTCTCCATAAGTAAGTGAGACACTAACTCAAAATAAATAACTAAATAAAGGGCTGGGAATGTAGTTCAGTAGTAAAGCACCATTGGACTCAATTCCCAATTTGGACAAAAAAAAAAAAAAAGAATTACAGATAAAATCTGCTTCTTCATGCACAATTAATATCAACCCCCAAGAAAAAAAAGAAAGCAAGAAAAGAAAAAGACTTTTTTTTTTTTCCTTTCTCAAATGCCAAAGTGAACACTCATTAACAGGATCTTGTGTTATTTAATGGAACCCATTTTCAAAGACTCCATTCTTGACCTTGTATTTTTAAAGCAYCTGTGACTTAGAGTATCTTGAACAATCTCTGACATTTCTACTACCCACAAAATGCCAACTTGCTCTGACACTAGGCAATTGATATAATTACCACTATGTATAAAAAGGTGGCTTAGAAAGAAGAAAGAAGCTTACTTCCTCTTATGCTACTACTCAAGCAGCACAATTGTTGTTTAAAAAGATAATAACTTAGGGGCTGGGGTTTTGGCTCAGCGGCAGAGCGCTCACCTAGCACGTGCGAGGCACTGGGTTCGATCCTTAGCACCACATAAAAATAAAGAAATAAAGTTATTGTGTCTGACTACAGTTGAAAAAAGTATTTAAGAAAAAAAAAAGAGAGAGAGAATGACTTCTTGGAAAGAAATTCCTTGAGTTTCAAGTCCAACATTCATCCCACCTGCTTGTCAATGATTTGGTCATTTTATCTTATTCAAGAAAGAATGATTTTGTTAGGCAGGATTGATCTTCCACAGGTCCTGCTTCCAACTTTAGCAATGAACACATGCATGATGATGTCTTTCTTGCCTTACTCACCTAGAAAGAACTTTTCCCTGTAGAGTGTCATTTTAGATTTGTATATATTCAAACTCTTTGATATGTGTGGGTGAAGGAAGGGAGCTAGTTTCTGGTGATTTCTCATTGCTTCCAACAGAATGCAGGTTGTTTGAATTTCTCTACAACCTAATGGGAGAGTCTCTCATTCAGCATTCTGGATTCTGATTGTTTAACTTAAAAAGGTTGAGTTTTATGATGTAGGAATGCTTTATTTACCCCTTATATATGGTGTGCTCTAAGGAGAGTAAATCCTAGATTCTCAGTCAAAAGGAGGTCTTGTTCTGGCATGACTATGTGACATTGGGCAAGCAACTTAATCTTTCTATGACTGACTATGTCACAGTCTTATGACTGCAGACTCATAGTCACAAAGTCTTCCTGGCTTCAAGTCATGTCATTTGCAGTGTCATAGTCTCAGAAACTCAACTCCAAGCAGACACAAGGTCATACAGTACTGAGACCTCAAAGTTTGCAATGCATTATCCCTAGACCTTCCTGGAGTGAGAGCTTAAAATCACCTCCAAAGCCTTGGATGCTTGGGAGCAGACTGAGTCTAAACAAAGCTACCACCAGTTCCGCACCAAATTCACTGGAATGAGACCAAAGTACAGAGATTCTGATTAAACTCCAGGAATTATTTTACTGTATTCTCATTATCACTTCCATATATAAATTCAATCAATTCTGTACAACCAAATAATTGCCAAGACACCCTTTTCAAGGGTCTCCTCCAGTCCAGCCACTTGGTATGTTCTTTGCATTATTATTTCACCTCACTTATCATGGAGGAAGGTTTTTCACCAACCTTCCCACTAAAGAGGTGCCTCATCACTCATGCACTCTTAAATTTTCTGAATTTGTGATACATCTTACAATTATGTCATGAGATGATATCATGTCTCCCACCTCACCAGGGAGGCCACGGGACTAAAGAGGTTAAACGCATGAACACATTGCAAAATCAGGGCAGGTACTTTACATTTCCACTTCAGAACAATATTACGTACACTACTTCTCAGAAGTTTGTTCTGATTCCTTTTCCTCAGCTGTACCTCATTTATTATGCTAATTTGAGCACAGGCCTGCACAGTTGTAATGACATACATATGATTGCTACTATTATTAAATAACATCCATATGGTACCTAACAAAGTAGTTCACTAGGAATGGTAGCCAGTCCTCACTCGGGTTAAGCAGTGCTCTGCCACTGAGCTACTTCCCCAACATCACTGGTTCATTAATCTCATCACTATGCAGCAAGAGTGTAGGAGCTTATCTTTCTTATCCAAATGTTAGAGAACTTAAGGCTGAGGGAAATTAAGTTCCTTGTAATTGTCACAMAGCATAAAATTTGTTCATTGAGGAGAACCTCAGTCTCCCATATTCCCTTTCAAGGAATTTTTCCACATTGGGTGTAAATATTATAACAGACACAAGCACATAAAAGGGAACCACCGGGGACACTTATCCACAACTRCGGAAGGATATATAATAAGCAAAAGGAGACTGGTAGCATCACCCTTACGCACTCACTGTCTCCTTCAGATGTCATCCCTGGACATTAAAGTCCATTTTGGTCATGAATGGAAGAACCTGTGGAGATAACGAAGGTGCCGTGCCTATGACMTTCCCTGCATCTTGTTAGGCTGATGATGAAGTGGGCACACACTGTGARGCCAAGATAGGCTTCATTCACACTGGACAGCGAAAGTTCTGCAATAGCAGCCACGAGAGTCTCTCATTTGAATTCACSGTCTGCACAAAATTCAGCCGACCCACCCTGATGACTTTGACTGGCAGCKAGATTACAAGCATCTAGGCGCCACCAGGCAGATGCTATTAATTTGCCTAACTGCCTCCTATGCAAGAAATAACAAGTACAATTACCAAATTCCTCATCAATGACCTTGACAGGGACTACCGGAAATTCTCAGGGAGACTATATTTCAAGTCTGGGTTTCTGCCAAACATACCTCACTGCCTAAGGGTTCATTTTAAGAGAAGCAGCAGTGGGGGAGAGAAAAAAGATGAGCTTTGGGTGCTAATCCAAACAACTCTGCTGATCTCTGCTCTTCATCCTCAGCAAGGCAATTAGCCTGTAATTCCCGGGTGATATGGATTGCATCTTGTTTCAGACTGCAGTGTCTATCTCAGTGCATGGAACATAGTATTTCCATGTTAACATGGATTTTCCTTACCCAAACTGAATCCACTTCGTTGTTTCAAGATCAATGAATTTACAGACCCTGTCTTAATATTGCTCATACTGTTATTAGAGACTTAATGAATGACTGAGAGCATATATGAACAGGTACATAACCAACTTTTCAGAATCTGTTTACTTATGAGCATATGCAAATGACATTGCACTTGGGAAGTTCTTACCAATACAAGCAAGTCTTATGTCAGAGGTTGGGGTTCAAAGCCAGGTTTCAGTAAAAAAGATTGTGAATATCTCTKTGTAAGAAGGTATCCAAAAATAGTAGCCTATTCATACCTTCAAGGCCCATGCCAGTCACTTGCCAATTATACTTAAATTTTCTGAATGATGTTGAAAGAAAGACTGGAAGCT